ATATGTGTCCTACATCTTCTCCTCGCAGGACGATGAGTTTGCTCTCCCGCAGCTATCGGATGCCGAGAAGGGGGTGTACAAGGATTGGTGGGGCCGGTTTCGGTCGAGGTCTTTCGAGCGGCCTGCTTCAGTTCATTTGATGTAGGCTTGACGAAGACAATAGATGATTATATTTTTTCTTTCCGACCCAGATCGACTAAGCCCAGAATGTAAGGATATATACTCCCTTAAGGTCAATAAATCAACCCACTAATTAACACACACACACACACCCTCGTACTATACTCATATGTACAACTACACATACATATATATATATATATGTATGTATAGTTGTGTGTGTACGATCGACATCATACGCTGACACGTACATACATGCTTCATGAAGACGACTTAGGGGTTAGTGTGAGTATTGTGGTTTTTGTCACACAGCCGATTCTCTAACCTACCTACATATATTAACGACCTACTTATACCTCCTATCCTATGCATACACACATACACACATGTCCACAAACCCGACATCCTAGGTCGGGAACTGACGTCGAGCCAACCTCCACAGCACCTGCCGTGCCCGAAACACCCCCCGTGATTGCTCCGGCAACAGCTCTAGCAGCCCCCGACGTGCCCGAAACACACCCCGTGATTGCTCCGGCTCCGGCAACAGCTCTAGCAGCCCCCGACAAGGCATCGAAGTCTCCAACCCCGGCTCAAGCACCCGATGCGGCGGCTCCCGCACCGTCTACGCCGGCTTCCACAACAGGAGCTCCCGCACCGTCAACACCGGCTTCCACAATAGGAGCTCCCACACCGTCACCGGCTTCCACGACAGGAGCATCAGATCAGACTCAGTTCTTGGCAAATCTGCTAGTGCAAATGCAGGCTGCAGGTGCTGGCCCCGAACAATTGCAGCCAGTTGTGGATGCCATCGCCAAGGCTTTTGTGCAGCAACCGCCAGCAGTGCCTGAGTCGCCACAGTCCGTGCTCACGGTTGCTAGTCCAGCACCCCCCCCGCCCGCAAAGGCTGTGCTGTCGCCGCCAGCCGAAGCACCCGCACTGCCCTGTGCGCCAGGCCCCGCTCCTGCACCGGCCGACCCAAAGCTGCCCGTGGATTACTCCAAAATGAATAGCAGCACCAATCCCGCAGAATACAAATCGTTTACGCGCTTCTGCGAGCGACACGAGCACGCAGAGGAGCTGAAGAAGGCTTATGTGCGAGAACCCCAGTACTGTTTCTTAAACCCACATCAAGCCAGTTGCTTATTCGAATATCGTATTTATACTGCATTCAGGAAGGGCGGAGCGTTCAAGCTCGCTGCTTTCCAGAAGTTTCTGAAAGCTGGTTGATTCTCGGCTTAAAGTGGAAGTTGAGGGTTGTCTATATATAGGCCGATCTGGGGTTAATGCTATGTTTCATCTGAGGCAATGGGCTGGCCCTCGAGGCCTGCCTCCGCTTTAAGAGGCAGCACGAGGATCTGTCGCAAGACGAAGGACGGGTGAGTGTAGATGCGCAACAAAGTACTACATGTACGATCGTTCTACATGAATGCACGACAAACCGTATACCTAATACTCCGATAATATTAATCTACAACCCCAAAAACCGACACCTTCAAACAGTGTCAATTAAATTCAATACAGATTATTGGTATCACAGCCTTACACAACACAAAGGCATGTCACCTCCCAAAAATAAAGCCCTCAAAATCTGTGTTTCTGGAAATCACCAAAGTAGAAGTCGTAACAGTAGCAGTAGCAGTAGCAGTAGCAGTAGTATAGTAGTATGGTACTACTATAGGAGACCCCTGGATTAATTAGGATTAGTAATTAGTAATAAACAATTCCTATTATATAGTCTTATATAATAGTAGTAGCAGTAGCAGTCGCAGTAGTTGCAGTATAGGAGTAATGCAATCACGGAGGACACTACTACCCGTTCGACGAGATCGTGAGTTTTTTCAACAAGGACACTGTCAAGGCAGAGGAGTTCTGCAGGATGCGGGCTGGGCAGTTCAAGGGGCCGCTGTGTCTGCAAGATCGGTGTTGCACACTCTGACTAGAAACCATCCAAGACCCAAGTTGCAAAGATCCGCTTAGCCAAACATACCAAGGACGTCGACCGACCGAAACAACCCCCAAGTCAAGACGTACCTCTACTTCCAAAGGGAGCGGAGACAACTTACGACCCGTTCTTTGGATTCTTGGCAAATTCTTGGCTCTACTTCAATGGACTTCCACAGCCATTACGATCGACGTGTCGTGTGTCGCACTGCTCCTCTACGTGTATGTTCATAGAGCTAATAGCTGCTATCGATCTAACTAAGGATGAGATCGCCATTGAGTTGGGGGCCCCGGCCGACTACTGTGCCCAAGTTGCCGAACTCCTTGAAAAGGGCCAGGACCCAAACAAGCTTGGTGCACCGGGCGGCACGTTGGCGCTGCCGCCAAGTGTGCCGCCAGGTGCCGATCTGCCGCCGCCGCCTCCCGTCGACACCACCAAAAAAGGGGGCAAGAAGAATGATGAAGGAGATCAACCGAAGAAGAAAGCGAAAGCCCCCAAAAGACAGGCAAGATTGAGAGGGGTTGTATGTCCAGTACGTGGTTCGTTTTGATGACCATAACCCAATACTCCGATAACTAAAGACCTGAAGGCAACCCCAAATTCCCAAACCGGAAATCCTAGACTCCTAGACCCTGATAAAGCCCTAAACCCTTTTAACTCATTTGCTCTCCGAAGCTACATTCCTATGCAGGGAACTCCTAAAACTAAAACCCTGAAGGCAACCCCAGATTCCCCCAAACCGGAAACCTAGACTCCTAGACCCTGATAAAGCCCTAAACCCTTGTAACTCATTGCTTGCCGAAGCTACATTCCTATGCAGGGAACTCCTAAAACTAAAACCCTGAAGGCAACCCCAAATTCCCAAACCGGAAAGGTAGACTCCTAGACCCTGATAAAGCCCTAAACCCTTTTAATTAATTTGCTCTCCGAAGCTACATTCCTATGCAGGGACTCCTAAAACCTAAAACCTGAAGGCAACCCCAAATTCCAAAACCGGAAACCCTAGACTCCTTGACCCTGATGAAGCCCTAAACCCTTTTAATCAATTTGCTCTCCGAAGCTACATTCCTATGCAGGGGTCGGAGTTGGAGATCGACCTGGCCAAGCTGATGACTGCCAAGGAGTTTGATTTGGACGACTTTGTGACCACTTGGGTTAGTGCCTGCACCGCCGCAGAGGGCAAGGCCGTTGTGACCAAAATCGAGTTTCTCCGGCTCTCGTTAATCATGTCCGCTGGTAGTTTTGACTCCCCAACCCACAAACAGCACTATATACATATATTGTGATACACATGATCCAAGGCTGGAGCCCCTCAAGTCCCAGAGCCAGCTGATTCAGATGATCGAGCAAAGTGTTCTGGGGATGGCTTCTTCAAGAGAGGAGCTCCAGAGTCTCAAGAACAAAACGGTGGATGCTGTGCAGGCTATTCTTCAAAAGGCCGCTCACGCATTACTAAAGAGTTAAGTAGGCTGGTAGGGTTCTGGGCTTCATGGCTTCAGAATGTACCGGAGGGTCCTGTACGTTGTGTGTGTCAACAAGTGTGTCCGAATGTCGAAATTGGTCTGCCTCTCCTTAAGTGTACCTCTATCGACCCAAACCACGTGCTCTGATCAGGCGGCCCCCTACGTCGAGGCCTACAAGAAGCATAGCAGTGTGGCTGCAAACCTGTCCCTGTGAAAGCATTATGGGTCGTTGTTTTTTCAAAGCGCACATACGTAGCTATGTAGCTATTGTGACGATACCGAGGATCCAAGGCGTCAACCGTGCTACTCGCAAGGCAACACCTAAGCAGGCTGTTCCGTCGCCTGCGAAAGCCACTCCGAAAGCCTAGTGGCCTAGTGAAGTTTGGTTTCCGCAGGAGGTACCGAAACTGTGTGGAACGCTTAGCTTTGTAGATTTAGCGTCACCCCCTGGGTTATAACAACCTGATAATCTCAGAGTAGGAAGTAATGCAAACAGCGGTGCCTCCTGCATGCCATGGGGCTATATCGGCAATCGACCGATACATGGGCCGGGTTTGCGAGCAGTCGTGCTGAACATGACTGTTTCGTTGATTCATGTCGAAGATCTAGCTACGATGCATCTCGATGTGTTCAAAGGGTTGCTGTGTGTGTTGTCGCATCCTCTATCGATCTGAGCAAAGTGTTGGTGCGCTGTTTCGCACATTTCTCATGCTGTCTCCGTGAATGTGTTTCAGGTTTCAATTCTTGAACACAAGCCCAAATCCCCGAATGACTACCCCTAAACCCTATAACCCTAAACCCTCGAACCCCTAGACCCTAAAACCCAAACCCGGCATTAAGTGCTATATACAGAAAACATCTACCCTCAAATACCATAAGGTGTTATCGATGACCTTATCTATCACGCCTGGGCAATGCTTTCTAAACCCTGAATGTACTTTCAGAAAGCTTCTATATACACAAGCCCCAACCCAAAAAGACTGTACCCGGAAGTCCCCAAACCCAAAACCTGCGAAGCATTGTATCCTCGGCAGCAACTTAAGCGTAAGTTCTCTGGGAGCTGTAATAATAAAGATGCTGTGCATGTGTCATGTCCTTTCGGTGCCGGGTATGATCGGTCCTTTGTACTGGAAGTCAATATGCTTCGGGCTGCAAAACGATTGCACAGGGACCGGGAGGCTGCCGCTGCAAATAAGCAGAAGTGCCGGAGCTCCGATTTTTCACTGAAGGCACCTCTTTCGAGGGTGTTGGCGTGGAATGTTGGACGTGGGCAGGCAGCTTCATCCATGCAACGGATATCTGAAGCTGCTACGGTTGAGTGCGATGGACAAATGTCAAAAAGCCGCTCGTATCCACCTTTCGTACTGAGGTAGTAGCTTTTAATTCTAAAGCCTGAAAGATTTGTGATTTTTCTGTTCTCGGTTACAACTTTAGTAGTTTGCCTCTTAAAAGAGTAGGGTTGGGGCGGTTGGGGGAATACTGTTTTTGTGTTTGGTTTGGTCTGCAGGCACACAATGGGCGACGACACTGGGTCGCCGGGGAGCTCGGCCTCAGCACATCGAGGAACGCTTGCATCGTGCAAGCTCTGGCTCAAAGGACGATGCTTGGGAGTAAGTAAGAAATTCGGTTTGCTGTGTTTTGTGTGTGTGTGCACGTGTGTTTGCCGCTTCTGGGGTCAGACAAAAACAACTGAGACTCTGGTCAAATGCCCTGTGTCGACACCGTCCATACTGGTCAAAGACCTTCGCGTGATCACCAAGAAGGAATCGAATCTGAGAAAAACGAGAAAGAAACGAGGCATCTTGCTTGCAGCGGCGGGGAAAAAGCGGCCTTTCAAGAAGAGCAAGATTGCGGTCCCCGCACCGAGCTGCTACGAATCCTGGCCTGTGTTTCGGCCTTTTGATTTGTTTCAAGCAATCGTCCAAGCGGGCTTGATCAGCGAACTGATTCCTGGCCTGTTTGATCCCAATTTGTTTTGTTAGCCCGAAACCAACTTTATAGAGTAAGCTTAGAATATCAGAAGTCTGGTGTTCATGGTTGTATTTCAGGAATGCAACGTCAATGGACCTCGTACAATTCTGGAATCAAGCTCGGTCCGAAGACTGGGGGGCGCGACTGGGCTGAAACATTCCATATGTTCGTGCTATTCCAATAATGAAAGCGGCTGCCTGTTATTAGCTTTCTTCATGTGTCCTTTCTCATATTCAACTTTTTGAGGAACCACCCAGTGCAAAGCTGGAGCGATAATGAGAAAGCGACGGCCTACCCAATCTCCATTTATGGAGATGAGGGCCAGAGCAAGAGAAGCAAAAACATGCTCATCATTGATTGGGCTCCACTAGCAAGCACGAAGGAACCCATGTATGGCAAGTTTCCTTACGTTGTGTCTTGCCCTTTATATAACATCCTTCTTTCTTTTTCTTCTTCGAGAGTCCAGAAATTTAAGTCCGCATTCTTGGTAGTTCAACAATATTGAGGTCATCAAAAGCGACCGTTTTCATTATGCTGGTGACCGAAACATCACATTGGAACATCTCCAAGCCGATCTCGTCAACTCCCTTAATCACTGCGCTGATAGGGGGAACGGATTGGGAGCCACGCTCCACGTGGTGACAGGAAAAGCGGATTGGAAATTCCGCAAGGAGTGGCTCCAACAGAGCCGTTTTTACGGCAAGATCGGCCACGGCACTCACGGGATTTGCGCGAGGTGTTTCGCGGCAAAACACGATTGGTTGGATGTCGAAGAAAAATTCAACAACCCAGCGGATATTGCTCGGGCTCAGGAAACAGCAGTGGGGCCCAACATACCCTTCCGGGAACTCAGCGGATGGTCTTGCAATATGGAAGTACCTGATGTTCTACATTGCGTCTATTTGGGCTCTGGCAGAGACCTTGTTGGAAGCATAGCTATGGAAATGGCTGAAAGAAGGCAAGACTTGACTGGGTCAACGTATGATGAACGTTTGGATTGTTTGCGGCGGGACATCCAAGCTTGGTGTGGTAAACACAATATCAGACCATCGACCATTGATGAACTGAGATTCTTGTTCTTAAGGCAAACAACGCTGGAGAGTTTCCCATGTTTGTTTTCCGACTCCCAATAATTATGGTGTTTCCGAATTTTGCTGCTGAAAAACTTGTTTCCCGCTCAGGTTTGTGCAAACTGGGCATCGAGACGCTGAGTCTGGACTTCCCTCAAGGCCCTTCGAAAGCCTACGCAAACAAAGTCTTGAAGCTTGGTGTGGTGCAGCACACGTGCTGTTTGTAGAGTACAATAAGTTATATCTGCTAAAATACATATCAGGCTGCATTATAAAGAAGAGAACTCATAAATCTGTTGCCGAGGATTGCGTACTTCGCCGACACCTTGGGTGTTTCTTGGGATGATTACCAACACTTATTCGATTTTCGTTGGCTTCTGGAACCCTTCAGAACCCTGAAACCAAACCCTTCCCGATACAAGTAGTAATTTAATATGTCTGCCAAGAAATGTTTCGCTAGACTACTACCTGATGCTTAGGACATCAATGACCCCTCCATGTATCTGCAATCAGTATGCTGCTGGGCTCTGCATGAGTTTTGTGCTGTTATGGACGAAGCTGGGGTCTGGCTTACCGAGCCACAGCGGCAGCTTCTGGTAGAGATTCTTGGCGAAGTCAACAAGCAGGTTTTAGTACTATACCTATTAGTCTTGCTACTGCTCTAGTTCTTACCCTAAACCCTAAACCCTAAACCCTTAGTCTTCGAACTTTCGGGCATCGTCGTCGCTGTCGTCCTCGTCGTCTCTGTGGTTCTTAAGAGCGTCTATAAATATGGCTTTGCTCACTGCACAAAGATAGGACTGGACGTCTCTTCGTGCAGACGTACGTTTCTCTGGCTGCTCGAGCTGTCGAGCAGAAACGAGCATTGCAGCTGGGCTTAGATTGGAAAGCGGGTTTGGGGTCTGGGTTTAACGGTTTAAGCTTTAGGGTACTCCCTAAATTATATCGCCCTTAAACACTTGTCGCCCTAAGCCGGCCCTATTTTATAAGCGCGAAGCTAATTCTTTGCATTTTGTAATATGTAAAGGTCGGTTTAATACCTGTAAGGTATAAGCTGAGACCTAAGCTTCATCAGCTTCATTGCCAAGTGATATGCCGCGCAGCGGGCGGGGCATTCTTGAATCCTAAAGTCTCGTCATGCTTCAAGGAAGAGGATCTGGTAGGGCAGCTGTGCAGGGTCGCTAAAGGCGCCCTGCATAGCGCGACGCTTAGCAGAAGGATTCTGCAGAGATGGATTTTGCAGTTTAACTCCAAGCTGCTCGAGAGTGCTTGAAAATGAAGACGAGCCCGCGAACCAGAAGCCCCTCGACCAGTTTCAACATTCGCCGAAAGATCCGAAACGCAAATCCCTATCCTTACACCCCTGGCCTAGAGATCCTGAACTTGCCTATTATAATATCTCCATTCCTATGTACCCCGTCAACCCCTAAAGTGTTAATCCTAAACCCTTAAAGGACCCTAAACCGGCCACCAAATCCAAACCTGCCGCCAAAACATGCAGTGGGAGTTCATCAAGACTGTTTGCGTTTACAATGTTTCGAGGAATTAGGGTTTGAAGGTTTTCAACTCCGAGTGTTGGACATTCAGGGAATTTGGAGGAATTTCGGCTTGACGGTCCAATTAAAGGCCTGTATAGGATATCGGTATATGCACCCTAAACCAATTTAGTTTAGCGTACCTATATATATATATACACATATATATATATATATATACACTGCTTCGTTGCTATACAACCCTAAACCCTTAAGTTGTTTTTTCACCTTTTTTTGCTTTTACTAGTGGCTCAAGTTGTGTTGTGATGATCTGCTGCAGATTACCACATACAGTGTGCTCGCATACGCTCTGCTTAAAGAGCAAACGATGGTCAACTCACTATGAGTGTGTGTCTGGCTCAAGCTTTCGAAGCACCGCGGCTTTTAATGGTCGCTGAGCTATCGCTGTCATAGATTTTTTGAACAAGTATGGCCTCCCGTGCATGGCAGCTGTGTCACCTGCAGCTTGCCCGCAGGAGCCATCCAGCCCTCCCTCCCCAGCGGGCGCGTTAGCGCATTGCCCCGCTGTCATATGCCGGCACTGGCACGTTGGCCACAAAGAGGGAGTGCTGAGGGAATGCAGGCCGCCGCCCCACACCCGGCCAACGGTGCGAAGGGAACCGTTTTCATGTGCCTGGCTCCCCCTTCGGTAGGGCATTTTATAAGGCTTTTTCCATCCCACCCGATCCAGGATAATGCTCGGCAACATACCAAGATACCAAAGGACAAAAAGAGGGGGGTACGCCACTTCTAAGTACAAAAAACCACAGTCCACAAGTACAGAAACAGGAAGAGGACAGGCGTGCAGG